AGCTGAGCTGGGTGTTGAGGAGAACCCTTCCCACAGGCTGCAGTCCCCCAGGCTCACCTTGCTCTGGCCTGGTCGTGCTCCCCCGTGCAGTGTTTTCCTTTCCTCCTGTTTCAGTAGTCAAGCACAAAGTGGATTAGCAAAGCCCCGTGCAGAATTAAGCAGCCCGGTGTGAAGTTATGCGGAGCGCTGAGGACTGGCCTGCCTTCCCCTGCAGACCTCCTGTGCTGTGCCGTGCTCTGCCGTGCCAGGGCAGCCCAGGACCAGGGGGCAGGGCTGGATGCTTCACGGGGTCTCCAGGCTTTGCTGGGCGAGGAGAGAAATACTTCTGGCTAAAGTTGGGAGCAGCAGGGGAAGCTGGAACAGTACTTTTGCAAGCAGGAAGTGATCTCCCAGGGTAAACATTTTAATGGAAGTGTAACCTGGCATTGCACAAAACCCCAACCCAGGGCGGCTGCTGCCAGCTGGGAGGATGCAGGGCTCGAGGAGATGCGTGGGAGGCTGTGCCCTGCAGTGCCAGGGGTGCCCACAGCAGAGCCGTGTGCGCGGAGCTGGAGGCGGCTGTGGCGCGGCCTGCCCTGAGCAGGTGGCTGAAGGTTGTCTTATTTTAGCTACAGAAGTATCTCTCTAGATCCATTACTGCGGGATCTCGTTTGCAATAAACTATATTGGCTCCCTCTTTATACAAATTGCTGGTATGAAAGAAAACCCAGCCTATATGCATGGAGGCAGGCATGAGCTAGTGAGATCAGGTTTCCTACTGAGCTCCCAGAGGAGAAGTCAGCATTTGATTGAAGCTACACTTGGTTCTTGGTTCCCAGGGGACAGCAGCCCTGAAACACGAGAGCCCTCCCTCCTTTTTTCCCCCCTTCTCTCTCTTCTTCCTCTAAAAGCCTTTGTGCTGAAAGAGCCTCAGTAGGCACGAATCGCCTGTCTCTCACAAGACTGTGTTGCAGCCTTTGCTGACATTGTTCTGTTAGCAGTGGTTTTTACCAGGCCAGCAGATTTCTAGCTACGTATAGGCAATGAATAGTCGATGATACTGACCTGTGAATATGTAGTGGTGTCTCTGGGTGGTGAATCTGATTCGGAAGTCGATTGGAGACTTACCACATTAGTGTGAAGCATCATACCTGCCGGAGTACTACTGCCCTTTGGCACGAGTTAGGCCAAGATGGAGACATGCTTCCAATAAAGTCAGCTATTTTTCCTTACTGGTGCCGTCCCCCAAGCTGCATATAGGTACATAGAAAGTGTTACTTCAGCTCCTGTGGCCTCGTAAAGAGTTGGTGTGGGACGCAAATTTCAGAGAAAGTTGCCGTGTCTCAGTTTTCCCTTAAGAGATGCACAGTTTGGTTAATGCCAGGACTCAGAATGGCAAGGAAAGGTTTCCTCAAACAGATTTATTTTCCCCATGCTTCTGTAAAGTAAATTCCATGTCTCCTCCAACTTTGCTGCTGTTGTAAAAATAAGTAAGGGCAGGGAAGGAGCTATGAGTATTTACACTCAAATTCCAGCTGTGCCCAGCAAAAGGCCCTCGGAGAACATCCAGCGCACTTCTTTGCTTCCAGGCCGGTTGTATCATGAACGAAGCTGGAGTCGTGCTTTAGGTTATTGGCATTTTTGTTTCAGTGTTATTTTTTTGGTTTTTCCGCCTTACGGTGGAAAGGAGAAGGTGGAAGCGTGTCTGTGCCGCCCGGCTGAGCGGAGGGGCCGGGGCCGCCGCGGGTTGCGGGGTCACCGCCCCGGGCAGGGGTGGCGGAGGGGCCCCTCGGCGGGAGGTTGGCGGTGACAGCAGGTCGGAGCTGCCGGGCAGGGATCGGGGAAGCCCGTCTTTCTCGGGGAAGGGTGGCCGGGCAGGGATCGGGGAAGCCCGTCTTTCCCGGGGAAGGGTGGCCGGGCAGGGATCGGGGAAGCCCGTCTTTCCCGGGGAAGGGTGGCCGGGCAGGGATCGGGGAAGCCCGTCTTTCCCGGGGAAGGGAGGCCGGGCAGGGATCGGGGAAGCCCGTCTTTCCCGGGGAAGGGTGGCCGGGCAGGGATCGGGGAAGCCGGGCAGGGATCGGGGAAGCCCGTCTTTCCCGGGGAAGGGCTGCTCGGAGCGCGGCGCGCCGCGGGGGCGAGCTCGCCGTGTGCCGCGGGGCGCTGCGCAGCTGCAGGCGCGGCTTTCCCCGCTACAGCGGGGTTCCCCCTCGCCTTTCCCAAAAGCCAGACCGAGAGCGGAGCTCAACCTGTGATTGTGCAGGCGTTTCGTCGGGCGGCAGTGTTGACTGGAAACCCCTCCGTGCTGTGGGGGAGAGCCCCGAGGCGCTTGGCACCCACCGACATGGGGTTGGCGGAGCAGCGCCCCGCAGCTCCGGCCCGGCCCGCAGAACCCCCCGAGCAGCGCGGCTCCGCCCGGCCAACCTCCGGGAACAAGCACGTTCCTGGCCCCGGGGCGGGGGAGGTGGGTAGAGGGTGTTCCTTGTTTCGAGTAAACCAGCTGCAGTAGTTGATGGTAAAGCAATGAAGGCAGACACAATGCTGCTGTTGTTGGTTTGATCTCTAACTGGGGATTGTTAGTCTGGATTTAACTCTGTGGCAAGGGGGGCGGGGGTTTGGTTGGGGTGGGGGGGAAGGCGAAGGCTGTTTACAGCCAGTGCAAATAATGTGACAGCTGTTGGAGCGCGAAAAGCCCGCGCCTCGCTGGCACTCGCACACAAAAGCTCTCGCTGCGGCCGGAGCGGCCCCGGGGCCGCCCCGCCGCTCCCGGAGGCACCGCCCGGCGCTGCGGGGCCCGGCGGGGCTCCCCGGGGCCCGGCGGCATCCCGGGCGGCGGCGGCGGGGCGCCCAGCCGCGCTCCCCTGCCGCCCGCCGCGACGCTTAAGCAAACGCCGCTGGCCGGGGAGAAGCGTTCCGCCCCCTCCCCCCGGCCCCTCTTTCCGCCTCCGCTTGATTTACAAGCGCAGGGAGGCAGCTGGAGGAGCGGCCGGCTCCGTGCCCGGCCCCGGCGCTGGGAAATCCCTCCTGGCGGCAGGTTCGCGCCGGCCCCGGTGACTTTGCGGGAGCGGCGGGCGCGGTGTCCCGGCAGCCCCGCGGCCGGAGAGGGCTGCGAGCCTCGGCCGGCCCGGGGCACGGCACGGCACGGCACGGCACAGCACGGCACGGCTCGGTGCTGTGGCTGGCAGCACGTTCCCCTCACAAACACGTGTTGGCAGAGAAGTTGCCGCTTGAGATGGCAGCGTACGACCCGTGATAACCTGGATGTGCAGGGATCCCCGGAGTAGGTCTTCAGTGAAAAGCTTCTCGTGCATAGATTTCCCGAGTGGCTATTTTCTGCTCAAAGCCTCGGCATCTAAGGGCCTCGGTTTGTCTTCTGAGTGTAGGATATAAAATGCTGTGTGTTCTTGAAGTTTGCTCCAGTACCCAGAGTGATCTCCTGGCCCTTTCAGAAGAGCCTCTGGAAAGTCGAGGAAACTTGGAGAACTGGGTTCCAGCCTATATTTGTACCTGACATAATTTCACTACCTACGAGAACCGCTGTGTTTTATATAGTAAGTGACCTCTGCGTACTATTGTCTTTTTGACGAGGCGTCTCTGGGGTGGAAAGCAGGTAAGAAGGGGAGATGCTTATTTCCTCCCTCACCCCCCTTTTAGTCGTTTTGGTCGATGGGTTGTCTTTATCTATTTCTCTCCAGTCAATCTATTATGTTTTTTTTTTTCTCTTTTGGCCTTGACTGTCCCCATGGTCCTTTATGGATTACACTGTGCTATTAGTGGCAAAAGTACACCAGTAGTCATTCAACAATTTTAGCATCAATTCCTATAAACTGGTGTTTTATATGACATGTGCCATTTTTCTGCAAGAATACTGCTTGCGAAACTAGTTTCGCCTTGGAGCAAAGGCGGAAAGATAAACAAGCCTGCATAGCCAAAACACTTGCATAGCCAAAACACTGGCAATTGCTGCCTCCTTCCAAATCTTTTAAAGTCACGGAGCAATATTTTAAGGATTATGCTGCTGCCTCTGAGGAGGGAATGTCGGTGGCGTTAAAAAAAAAAAAAAAGAAGCTAATGCAAATTAGAGAAAAATAATTTTCTTTCAGCGATATGCAATGTATTAGTCACTTGTTATCATGCTTAGAGGCAGACCTCATTTGCGCGTCTGCCAACTCGTTCACATCTGCTCAGAGCTGTTCAGGGCATTTTAACCTTGGCGGTGTCGTGTCGTAGTCCCACGGATCAAGAACGAGTAATTAAAGCTCTAAGCAGCAGCAAAAAATTCATAGCCGCCCATCTGCATCGCAGTTGATTCGCTGCTTTGTTTCGGTGCGGAGCGCCGGGATGGGCAGGCAGGGCCGGGCGGCCTCCACCCTGCCTCTACGCCGGGGCACTGCTGCTACTGGCAACTTTATATCCGTTTTATTTCCTTTTTCTCCCCCCCCCTTTTTTTTTTCCCCTTTGTAATTTTTGTATTTTTTCAGGTGGTTTGGTTTCCCTTTTTTTGCCCCTGCTATCTTCCGCACGCTGCGTCGGGCGGTGTTTGGCACTGGCTGAGCCACCCTGGACTGGCCTTTCCTCTAAAGGTGTGGAGAAGGTGGTGGATGTGAGGTCGGGACACGTTGCGGAGACGTTTAGTCGAGGTGCTCGTAATGCAGCTTTCGTAACTGAGGGCTCGCCAGCGCTTTCCAGAAGTGCTCGGGAAAGCGTTTCCCATTAAGGAGAAACGTTAGCGCCATAAACCCGACTTAAACTTTGGGGCGAGGCTAATTTTTATGCATTGTTTAGCAGAAGCCAGGCTGTTTATCTGCTTCTTGTTGGGAGGAGGAGGAGGGCATTTAAAAAAAAAAAAAAAGAAAAAAAAAAAGGGACCTCCCTCCCCCGCAACTTCCCGAGCACTTTTTCTTGCATGCAGTCGCCGAAGGTCCCCGTGCCCCGGCCCTGGCGTGGCTGTGCAGACAAAGCCCTGCGGGAAGCGAGAGGCTTCCATGCTGGCGGCGCTAGGTAAAACGAGAGACGGAGGCACCTAAGTTTAATATTTGCCTGTTGTGCGCGGCCATTTGCTGCGTGAGGCGCGGAGCCTCCCCCGGCGGGGCTGCGGGGCTGGCGCTGGGGAACCGAGTGGGGGGCTGGCGGAGCGGAGGGAGCCGCTCCCCATCCATCAGCCCCGCGAAGCTGTTGCTCCGTAAATGAGGGAACCACAGGCCCTGTCAGCCGCAGTTATGCAAAATGAAGTCGTCCGTGATCAATATCTCCCAACGTCCCCGACGGATGTGTGGGGGGGCCGCCCCCGCCCAGCGTGCCGCGGCGGCTCCGCGCCGGGGAGCGGTGTGCCGGAGTGGCCGGAGGGAAACCAAGGGCGTGCGGCCCATTCATCACTCCACCCCCCGGGGGTGCGGCGGGGGCTGGGGGAAGGAAACGGGGGCCGTGCTCCGGTATTTCTGCAAGGATAACGTTGCGGAAGTGAGCGCAGGCCTTCGCCCAACTCTCGCAGGAGCGCTGGGACTTTTGTATTCAGTCTGGGGGGGCTTCCCCCCCACCCTGCCCCTAAGTTTCCCGAGCTGCTGGGGGCAGGGGAGTGCTCGCCGAGCCCGGCTGATAGCGAGCCCGTGGCGCTGCGCTCTCCCAGCCTCCCGCGGACGAACAATGGGGGACGAGCGGGGGGAAGGGGCTGTCTCGGTGGTATTTTTCTTTCCCCCCCCCCGTTCCTTCCCCCCCCGTTTTTTTTACCCTTTCTATCCCCCTCCTGGAAAGCAAAAGCCATACGGAATAAAGGCAACAATGAAGGGTTCCCGGGATGCCGAGTGCGCGGCAGGTTAATGGGCTGGTGGGGCGCAGGCCTGCGCTTTTCCTTTCCTGCGCCGGGAACGCGGCCTTAAATTACCTGAAATGCACATTTCTGCCTGGCCCGCGGTGCGTGGGTGTGTGTGCTTGCGTGTGTGTGTGTGTGTGTGTGTGTGTATGTGTGTCCCTCTCTCCCACCGCTGCCGCTGCTCCGCCTGCGCAGCCCGAGCTCGGCTGCTGCCTGTTGTCTCTGGCAGCGGCAGCGGAAACCTCGCTCCCGTGTGCCCGCGCGTCTGTGTGTGTCTCTATGTGTGTGTGTGTGTGTGTGTGTGTGTGTGTGTGTGTGTATCTGTATGTGTGTCTGTATGTCTGTATGTGTGTGTGTCTGTATGTCTGTGTGTGTATCTGTGTGTGTGTGTGTGTCTGTGTGTGTCTCTGTGTGTGTATGTGTGTGTGTCTAAAATGGCGCGGCCGGCCTGGGTAGGGAGATGCCGCGGCGGGTGGGCTTCAGAAGGGAGCCCGGGCTCTCTCCGTAGGCCCCCGTCTGTGCGGGGGCCCGGGGGTTCCTGCGGCTGAGCCGGTCTGTGGCTCCCTCCTCCGCCACCGCCTCCTCTAGTAGCCTTGTTTCCCGGCCGGCAGGAATCCCCCGGCCACCCCGGAGCGCACGTCCTGCCCGGGGACAGCGGCATCGCCCGGGGGACCCCGGGGGCGGGCGCCGTAGCGGCGGTGCGGGGCTGCCAGTGCGGCGAATGGGCTCGGTGTTTCCCGCGAATCTCTGGGAATTCCTTCATGCAGTGATGCCTCAAAGTTGGGTACCAGCCGCTTCACGTCCCCCCTCTGTGCGTGTGTGGGAGCCTTTGCAGCCTTTCTCTCGCACCCCCATGATGTGGTTTAACCGGGGGGAGTGTCCCCGCCATACCAATGTTCCGTAACCTTCAGGTACGGGCTTCGCTGTGTGCGGAGGCAGCCTTGGCCGCCCGAGGCAGCTTTGGCCTCGAGGAGCTTGTGCCTGGGTCTTCCCCTGGGGCTCCGCGACAGGCAGTGCCATGTGGGCTCCAGGAAAAGGCAGCCAGGGTTATTTGAAGGATCGCCAGCCATTTTAACTTTCCCTCATTGGCCTCCTCCCCCGCCCCCTTCCCCAGTTCCTAGGCTTATCATTAATTGAAAACTTTTTTTCCTCCCCCCTTTTGGCTGCCGCCGGCAGCTGAGAGCGATGCAATGATTCTCCTCGCAGCATATGGGAAAGGGGAACGCGCCGCTGCCGCTCCGACGCAGCGCCTGTCTGTGCAGGGTCCGAGGCGTGACAGGCGGCACGGGGGGGCGCGGGGCCGCCTGTACCGGGGGGGCCGCCCCCGGTGGAGCCCCGCCGCCCTGGAGGTGTCTCCGTGGGGCGCAGAGTGGCCCGGGGCGGCAGTGCCCGGGGCGGGGAGGATGCCCCGCTGGCGCTGGCTCGGCAGCCCCGGGTGCCCCCGGTCGGCTCCGCCGCGCCGTGTTTACACGGCAGAAAGTCCCGGTCGCCGCTCGACACGTGACGGTGTGGGAGCCGCGGGAGGGGGGACCACGGGGGACACGGGAACGATGGGGGGGTGGCTGCGGCAAGAGCCTTAAAATAGTCGCCGACCCCCTCGTGCTGCCTGCACGCTGCCTAAACCGAGATGCACTAGTGTCGTGCATGACTCTATATGTATTTTAAATCGGTTTAGCGATCTCGCTGGCGCATTGTGCTTAGCTTTATGGTTAAATGAAATGCCACACGTCCCGGGTAAAGGTCAAACTTCTTCTCTAATCCGCGGATCCGTGCGGCGGCTACTTAGTCTGCAGCTTCCTCCTCTGGTTTACAAAACGTGTCACTAGTGGTGATGTCGTGTGGAGATTGCATAAAAAAAACCCACGGTATATTTTATTTTTTTATACATATATATATAAAAAGCGCAGCCGAGCCTATTCTTTTAACACTTGTCTAATATTAGATCGCTGGCTGCTGCCAGAGCTTTATACGGCGCATTGTAAACGGTGCAGCAATACGGTGTCTCTGAAGTCTCCTTTCTAGCCGTGGCACTGGTCGTTGTTCCTATAAGTCGTAAATATGTAGGTCGGAGGTACAAGATAAACGAGGTACACATTCATAAGCATCAGCCCGTATTTAAGCTTATAAATACCGTGCGAACGCTGCCCTTTAAATCAAGCCCCAGATGAACGGGGCTGAGGGCTAATCGAAGTAGATCGCTACGAGTCCCCGATTGCTTCTCACTTCTTTCTCAGGGATTTTCACAAATCTAGAAATGATCCTGCCAGTGGCCTGGAACCGGGCAGCAACGGAGCGGGGTGAAGGGGGAGGCCTGGGGGGGGTGATATGGGGGAGGGATCAGAGGCCGGTAATTAATTGCATTGCTTTTAATATCCGAAAGGCTGGGTTGTTTGCCGAAGCTCCCGGCGCTCCGTCGGTGCCATCGGCTCTCGCAGAGGTTTTTTTTAAACCCCGCGCAGCCCTCCCCGCCGGCTGCCGCTGCGCTGCCGCTGCTGCTGCCGGCTCCGTGGCTTGTGCAGTGGAAACTGGCAGGCTGCCAGGCGGAGCTCGGAGGTGGAAAAGAGTAAAGGCGCCAAAAGGGAACTCGTGCGCCGCTGCAATTCTCCTCCCGACCCGCTTCCTGGCTCGCTGCAGCCGCCGGCCCCGCCGGGCTTCCTCCAGGTGCCCCCCCGCTACCCCCTCCGGCCCTCCACGCCCCTCGCTGAGACTTTCACCTCGCAGAGTCGCCGGCAGGCACCCCGGGGTCATGGGGGTGGAGAGGGAGGGGGAAGAGCGGGCTGCCCTGTCTCGGGTGGCGCTGCCATCGCCTCTTTCCCCCGGAGGCACGGAGAAGTGGAGTCTTCCTCTTCCTCCTTCTCCCCCTCCCCGCGGGCATCGGGTTTTTCTCGTTTCCACGCCAGCAGCCTGTTAACAAAACTTTGCTGCTGCTGGCGTCAATGGCTGCCAAAAGTCTGTTGACGTTGCGAGGGAGACCCAAACGTTTCCCTTTTTAATCAGCTGCCCGAGCAGTGCGGTGTGTGCCCGTGCCTGCCTCTGCGGCGCGGGGCCGGCGGGGCGCGGGAGGTGGGTGGGTGTTCCCGGCGCGGCTCGGCACGGCACGGCACGGCTCGGCTCGGCTCGCCGGGAGGCAGGTTAGTGCTTGCAGGCGCTTTTCACAACTGGTTTCACACGGCGGCATCGCTGCCGAACCGCGTGTGCGTTGCGCGTCTCACTCTCTTCCACCCCCCCACCCCGCGCCTCCCTCCCTCTCTTCCTCCCTTCCTCCCTCCCTCCCTCCCTCCTCCGTGCATCACCGTCTATATTTAGCCGCAAATGGCTTTATCGGCCAGACACCTCCCGGAGGAAATGCCGTGCGCGCTCCGGCTGCCGAGCCCCGCTCCGCGCCCCGCCGCGCAGCGCAGCGGGGGCGGCCGGGGGGGCTGCGGCGCCCTGGGGCGCGCTGGCGGTGGCCCGGTGGGTGACAGGAGGAGGGAAGGGAGAGAGAGACGTGTCCTCGGTTTCCTCCGTGCGCTGGGGCGCTCAGCCCGCCGTCGGGGTTGCATAACGGGACCGGCTGCGCCCACCCCCGCGGAACCTGGGTATATAAATAGGTGCGGTGCCCCCCACGCCCCTCCACTGTCCCCCCCGTCCCCGCAGCGCAGAGCGCTTCTGGCGCTGCCGGCGTGTTTGGCCGAGCCTCTGTGAGCCGGTATCCCCGAGAGGCAGCTGCTTGTGGGGAGGGAGAGGAGGGGGAGGGACAGGGTGTGCGAAGAGTTAAAAGTCTGCTGCTTGTTGCAATGAAATTATGGCTGGCAGTGGCGCCGCTGCTCGTTCAGCAGACCTCCACTTTTAAACAGTTCACAAGAAGTTCATCAGGGCGGCGATGATTATAACTGCACACACGCGCGCACCCGGGGCACGCAGCGAGAGGGGGTGGCTTTGGGGAAGGGGCTGGCAGCCGTCGAGGACGCGGGCTCTGACCTGCCTGGTGGCCCTGGGACATCCCACCAGGTCCCTGCCACCGGGCGGGTTTTGCCCTTGCTCGGGTGGTGGTGGTGGTGGGACATGGGGCCTCCAGATTCCCCACTTTTGGCTGGGGACGCTCTCACTCCCCCATGCAACTTCAGCATTTCGCTATCTGCGCGTGTCAGGGGATTGATGGGCTCTAGTTCAGGCACCTCGCCTTATCTTAATGATACATTTCCACCGAGGAAGGCAGGCAGCCCCTCGGAGGGAAGCGGGGCGCAGAGCGGACTGTGTGCTGTGGAGGCCGTTCCCTGAGCGGTGTCTGTCCCTTGGAGATGAGGCAGCGCACGGGGTGGCTGCTAACCCTACGTAGAACCCTAAATCACTCTCTCCATGCTGCTGCTGCCTCTATTGAAAACATTACGAGCGGCGCATCTGGAAACCAGTAAATCTGTCCAGAAAACGTCTTTCCAGTGAAATAACTCCTTTTGAATGATAGCGTGGTAACTAACCTCCGTGGATTTTTGTTTCCTCGCGGCGATTTGTGCGGACTTCATTAGGAAAAGCTAACCGTTGTGGAGAAAGGAGGGTCAACGTGCCGTTTCATTAATATACATTTGTTCCAGACGTGGAGTTTTGCACAAAAGGCCTCTCTGAGGGGAGAAAAAAGTGTTGGGGAACAAGGCTTTCCTGCCGTTTCAGTTCTTAAACCTCTCTGAACGTGTGTGAAGTATTGTGTTAAAGGCCCAATCTGGGCTTCTTCCCTATTAAATGCCAAAGTGATCATTTGCATATTTTGTAGCCTGACAAAGGAAATGAGTTTGCTGGGGAAGCATGGATGCTTTGGGAGACGTTAGACATTAAACTCCCAGTGGTCAATCGCCCGTTACTGGCTTGTGTGTGTGTAAAAGGAGTATCATGCCTCCTGCTTAAAGGCTTCTATTTTTGTGAGAGGAAGAGCTGAGGGATATCCTGTGCATTAAAGGCTCCCCCTACTTATTAACCCAGCATTTAGCAGCAGGATGCAGGCTGAAGCTCAGTCAAAAGAAACGACTCAACCTCCAAAGAGCAATTAAAATCTTGCACTGGAATAAATCATGCGCCGCGATAATCCTGTTAATAAAACGCAGCTTGTCCTGACACTTCGCTCATGCAGCAAACTAGAATTTAATGCGAGCGGAGGTTGCATTAGGCAAGGTAGAGGGGAGGAAAAGCCTTTCTTTCCCTCTCTGCCACTGGACGTGAAAACGTGGTTACCTTTCACCTGCCTCCCTGGCTGCACACGGCGCCGATCCTCTTGGACTGCTAATACTTCTCCAGTGAGCCCGCTAATGATTTC